ATGAAATTCCAAGAGATTTAGTAATTTTGTGTCAGGAACCAGGGTCAAAGGCCAATTAAAACAAGAGTTGCTCCTACCACTTATAAGAGTTTTAGGAGCTCTGTGGGAGAAGCAGGGAACAGACTTATATTTTCTATCACTTCCTATTATCTTACTGTATTGTTTCTTTTAGGCCAGAATGACACCAGTTTAACCTTCGTAAGATGAAGTGAACGGTCATTCTTTCATATCTACTTTGTACCCACTTGTGATGTAAATTCTATCACAAATTATTAAGTTATGCATTATCAGTGTAGTGGTTGTAAAAGATCAGCTCTTTTGGTGTTATGAACACCAAACAATGGGCACAGCAATCTTTGCTGGGCTTCTTGTCATCTCTGTCTTTCCCCTCCTACCTCCTACCTTTCCCCTGCCTCCTCCAGGCTCTTAAGTAATTACATGGAAGTGAAAAGCTTTTCAGTTCCTACCCTACATCAGGACAAAAGCGACCGGAGACATACAGATTTCACTTAGCGCCTTTTAAGATGGCTCCAAGGTTAGCTGGGAGTGCCAGCATGGTGTGTCTGAGGCTTCCATATAAGTCCTGCATTAGTGCAGATGGCATGGAGGCCAGGTCCAGGTGGGGAGTGGGGATGGTACTTCTCTGTTGAGACTTTCTTCCCTACAGTCTCAGTTGAGGGTCAAGGGCACAATATCCCTGTGGTTCTTTAACTGGGGGTACAAGAGAGCTGCCAAGTCCCAGTCTCAAGGGAGACAGGCAGGGTGCCTGACTATGGAAGGCTCAGAGAGGGTTAAGGTTAGCTCCTCGGGCGATTCTCACAAAGCAATGTTTATATCAAAACCAACCTTAAAATAATTTTTTGAGGGGGTCACCTGGGTGGCTTAGTTGGTTGAGCATCCGACTCCTAATTTCGGCTCAGGTCATGATCCCAGGATCATAGGTTCTAGCCTTACCTCGGGCTCCATGCTTAATGTGTTGCACTACTGATGGCAATACAAACTGGGACAGCCACTCTGAAAAACAGTGTGGAGGTTCCTCAAAAAATAAAAAATAGAACTACCTAAGACCCAGCAATTGCTCTACTAGGTATTTATCCAAGGGATACAGGTATGCTATTTCTAAGAGGCACATGCACCCCAAAGTTTACAGCAGCGCTATCGACAAAAGCCAAAGTATGGAAGAGCCCAAAAGTCCATCAATGGATACATGGATAAAGAGGCAGCGTACACACATACACACACACACACACACACACACACAATGGAGTATTACTCAACAGTCAAAAAGAATAAAATCTTGCCATTTGCAACTACATGGATGGAACTAGAGGGTATCATGCTAAGCGAAATTAGAGAAAGATAAGTATCATCTGACTTCACTCATATGAGCACTTTAAGATACAAAACAGATGAACATAAGGGAAGGGAAGCAAAAACAATACAGAAACAGGAAAGGGAATAAAACATAAGAGATTCTTAAATATAGAAAACAGAGGGTTGCTGGAGGGGTTGAAGGAGGAGGGATGGGCTAAATGTGTAAGGGGCAGTAAGGAACCTACTCCTGAAATCATTGTTGCACTATATGCTAACTTGGGTATAAATTAAAAAATAAATTATTTAAAAAATACACTGAATGTGATAAGCAGAGTAATGTATTAATTTGTTGAATCATTATACACTTGAAACTAATATTACACTGTATGCTAATTATACTTCCATAAAAATAAAAGGATTGTAATATATATTTGTATATATATATATTTGTAGTTGCAAAAAATATTCTCTCCCCCCTTCTGCCCTTGCCCCACTCGTGCATGCACATGGACACTCTCAAAAAAATTTTTTGTAGCAGATAAAGAACTATTCTATGGTTTTTACGTAGGCTCCATGTCCAATGTGGGGCTTGAACTCATGACCCTGAGATTAAGAGTCTCTTGCTTTACCAACTTAGCCAGGTGCCCCATGAAAGAGCTAAACATTTTTTTAAAAAATGTCTTTTATTATTTTTGAAAGAGGGGAAGAGGGAGGGAGGGGGAGAGAGCGAGAGCAAGAGAGAGAGCGCGAGCAAGCAGGGGAGAAGCAGAGAGACAGAGAGGGAGACGCAGAATGTGAAGCAGACTCCAGGCTTGGTGCTGTCAGCAAACAGCCTGAGGTGGGTCTCAAACTTGTGAACAGTGATATGACCTGAGCTGAAGTCGGATACTTAACCGAGGAAGCCACCCACGTGCCCCTGGAAGAGCTATTTTAAATAACTTTTTGGAAAACAAAGCTTCTATAAAACGTTCCCTTCCCTTTTCTCTCCTAGCTGTCTGCCTACCATCACTGCCTCAAGATGGCTGTAACTGCTCCCTCCACCAAAGAACTTTATACAACTTCTGACAATTTGAGTAGTTTCACATACAGCTTAAGAACTAAATTTGTATGCTTAAGAACTAAATTTGTATGCTTTTTCAATGACATATGGGACACTTACTAAATGCTTACACCAAAATTAGACTAGAAATACTAAAGACTTAGAAAACACTTCTAATTGGTGACACACCAAAATGGATGATGATACTGCAGCCTTTCCATTCAGAGCCTATTCAGAAAACAGAATTCCAAGCAAGTCAGACCCACGGAAAGTTAACAAGTATGGCTGAACAAAGAACTAAGCTGCTTGCAGAGGTCACTGATGAAAACTGTGAAGCCATCTTTCCTGCAAGAGTAAGTTCATCTGGCTGTGTGCTGTGGCCTCTCCACACTCTGTGACCCAGCCACTGCTGAACACATGGGAGCCACACTCGTCCTGAGTACTACAGAAGTACTCTGAATTCTCAGAATTTGGAAACATGTTTGTCAATGATGATGAACAAGAAATTATTCAGTTCAAGGAGAAACTTACAAAGACCTATTTTTCTGGGGTCATGTTTTTGTTGGTTTGTGGAGAAGTAAAAAATTCCTAGTCTAACATAAGGCCTTTTCCTTATAATTATGGCCTCTCATAATCACTGGTTAAGAAAAAGATAGCTTTAAAAACATGTGCCTGGGTGGCTCAGTTAAGCATCAACTCTTGATCTCAGTTCAGGTCATGATCTTGTGGTTCCTGAGAATGTGCCCTACATCAAGCTCAATGCTGACAGTGTGGAGCCTGCTTGGGATTCTCTCCCTCCTCTCTCTGCCCCAACCCAGCTTGTGCTCTTGCTCTCTCTCAAAATAATAAACTTTATTTTTTAAAAAGACTTTTAAACACTTTATCCATTTTGAGAGAAATAGAGACAGGGGGAGTTGGGAAAGGGCAGCGACAGAGGAAGACAGAGCACCCCAAGCAGACTCCACACTGTCAGCATGGGTCCCAACGTGGGCCCAACGTGGACTTTGAACTCATGAAACCATGGAGATCATGACCTGAGCCAAAACCAAGAGTCAGACACTTAAGTGACTAAGCCATGCAGCAGGCACCCCTAAAGAAATAAAAAGTTAAAAAAATAAAGAAATGCTGAATAATAATAATGAAATGCTAAGTCAAAAGCAAAAGACTAATTTTTTAAATGTTTTTTATTTATTTCTGAGAGAGACAGCATGAGCAGGGGAGGGTCAGAGAGAGTGGGAGACACATAATCTGAAACAGGCTCCAGGGTCTAAGCTGGCTGTCAGCACATAGCCTGACGTGGGGCTTGAACTCATGAATTGTGAGACCATGACCTGAGCCGAAGTTGGACGCTCAACCGACTGAGCCACCCAGGCACCCCACAAAAGACTTAATTTTGAAAATGATTTGGGACAAGTATAGCTGCCCTCTGCAGCTAATAATCTAACTTCTCTCTGCAGCCTCCACCAAGTTGGTATTTGGGAACGGTGGGGGCATGTACAGGTTTGTAACCTAATATAGTTACGCATTCAACAACTAAGTTACCTCACTTGTTATAAAGTTAGTATGATCATATATTTTGTATTTTTCCCTTGTCAGTGATGTCTGGGCATCTGAGCAGGAAGCAGGACATGTGCTTCATAGAAGAAGAAGTCCATGTAAGGGGCGCCTGGGTGGCTTAGTCAGTTAAGCGTCCGACTTTTCGCTTAGGTCATGATCTCATGGTTCGTGAGTTCGAGCCCCGCGTCGGGCTCTGTGCTGACAGTCAGCTCAGAGCCTGGAGCCTGTTTCCAATTCTGTGTCTCCCTCTCTGACCCTCCCCTGCTCACGCTGTCTCTCTCTCCTAGAAATAAATAAAACATTAAAAAAAAAAAAAAAAGAAGTCCATGTGGGAATGAAGAGTGGTTATCAGTCTACACCGCAGAATGATACAAATCTCTTTTTAGTTTACACATCTGAATTAACAACAGCAGGTCATAAAAAGGACAATGGACCATGAAACTAAAGACCTTACTCCTCTGTTAGCTTACTGACTTGACCAAGTTCCTTTTCCAGTTCCTGACTTCCATCTGTAAATTGGGTAAAATATAGGTAATACCTATCCAACAAACCCAGAAGTTGTTTCAGCAATTGTTCATATACAAAACACTACTACTGCTGCTGCTATAATTATAAAAAGAAAAGGCCATACACCTGAAACAGAACAGCCACTCAACAGAAGAGACAAATCAAAATCTGTGAGAATGTTAAGGAAGTTAACTACAAAGTACAATTTCCCAGTTTATACAAAAATGGTTTAATGGTAGTGAAACTTAAAAACTAGTAAAGTTAACAAAGTATATTGGCTACAGAGAACTTTTTCCCAACCATGGCAGATACTCTGCAGGTAATTATCAATGCAAAGCCTTTAATCCCTCTGTCATGTACTCTGAATCCCACTTACTCTTCAATATGAAACATGATACAGTCAGAGGTTTCTTTGGCAGAATCATGCATTAATATGCCAAACCCAAGCATTTTCTCCCTTAAACTTACCTGACTGAAGGTATCTTATCAAAAGACATAGACAATTTTAATAAGTACTTTAGATTATCATTAAGAGTCTAAAAGGTAACAAAAAGTACAAAGAAAAGTCCTTAAGGAAATTAAGTTAAAACAAATAAAATTTACATTTTATTAAATCAGCAAATATAATCACCTGGGTATATTTTTATTAGCAAAAAATAATGATACTGATAATAAAGAAAAAGGAAAAAGCAAAAAAAAAAAAAAAAAAAAGAAAAGAAAAGAAAAGAAAAGCACCTCAGACCAGAATACCATAACAAAAATTTTGTGGAAGCTGCATTTTATTTGAAAATCCACCCATTTTTGCTAACATACATTTTAATATTGTAAACAAAAATAGAATCTGCAGAGACAATGCAACAAGTATGCTTAAACTCATGTACAGAATTGCTTTCCCACAACAAACTGTCCTTCTTAAGGCCCCTCTCAACCGAAACGTTAAGATGTATTTACACAAAGCACCGATCAACAGTGCAGTTTAATTTTTTGTTAACTAAACTCTTGGCTAGACATTAACTTTAAAGATACTATTTCCCCTTATTTAAAAGGTACATGATCATAACATGGGCATGAGCCAAATAAAAGGTTTCAAGGATTTTGTCCCCTGCCCTCCCCCCATAACACCTCCTAGAGTTTTACTGAAAAGAAGGAAAGTCTTGAAGTGAAAGCAATTCCTCACAATCATTTTGGAAAGGCCCTAATGTCAAATGGAAAATAATTGACATGCCAAGCACAAAGCAGTAAAGTTCCTTCCCAATGCACTAATGCTGAATTTAAAATGTAGTGCTTTTCCTAGTCAGTGACTGTTCCCTTGCAAAATCCTAGGCACAGAATTGACTATAAGGATTAATGCATTTATAATGCTTCCCTAAATCCCATAGAGACTGAGAATTCTTAAGCGATTCAGACCTATGGGCTTGCCTTAAAATATTTAGTGCTCTGTATGTCAGCTGAAAAGCATTCGGAATCAGATTCAGTCTTATGGATAAAAATCAAACATACTGTGTACATCCATACTCATTTTCATAAGGAAGTCTGATACAATATTAATGTTATGTAAATTGATAATCATAAATAAATACAAATACTTAAGGAATGTCTACTGCAAACTGAATATATAATTTTTTTAAAGGAAAAGTTAATTTTAGTTACTATTTCTGTATCTGTGAAGACTGGAGAAAAGAAAGATACTGCAAAATTAAGAATTATGATTTTGATCCCCCCAAAAGAGTCCTGTTGCATTACAGGAAAGGAAACGGCTCTTCTCTCCAGGCAGCTTTTCCAAATATAAATTTTACACTTTCCAAATAAGGGCTTTTTTTTCTTGGTAGGTTACTGATTATGGGTATTAATAAGAGTTGAAAGAACTGAAGGGTTAGTCACCAAAAAGATCTTAGTCTGAAATCATGGCAATTCTTGGCTTTATAAACTGTATTGATACGTTCTCCTATATACTAGTCCCAATTTCCTTCATGGGCCTTCACTGGGTTACTGTAGCATTCTAATGGAAGAAGAGAGTTTAAGAGACAGCAGTTTGGATTTTGCTGGAAGTAAGTATTTGCTGCTTGAGCACTTGTCTTTTTGGAATAATTCCATTCTCTTCCATCTAGTTACATAAACTGTATCTGGAAAAAAACAAAAGAGTGTAAGTTGATTCACTACATTGTGGGAAGTCTTCTCACAAATAAAAATGCTTTGTGGCTTTTACCATTCAATGGACCCAGAAATTTTTATAGCATGTTTATCACAAACCTGATGATAAAACTAAGTCAGTATTATCATCTTATCATGTGCCAAAGTCAATATTTAAAGACTAATTATAGGGACTTCCAAACAGATCTTTCTAATACTAAAAACCAAGAAATGGGGAAGGAAAGAAAATGAACAATTTTTCAATGACAAGTTCAGAACTCTCCATAAACACAAATATTCTATGTGAAAATCTCATCCAGAAAAGCAAAATTTGAATCATTATTTACAAATGTCATAAAATTAGAGATAATTAGAGATAAAGGAACTGTAATATGCTTACTAAATCATTTCTTTACTAATATAAATTAAAAGCTCAAAGGTCTACAAAGGAAAAGTTTTCAATAGGGCATCACTGTTTGCTCAAATACTTCACTCATGATTCCCTTAAACTGTCTATCCAAAGGCATTACTGAAGTAGATGTGCTAATAAACTTGTCAAATCAGAAGAATACAAACTTTCAAAGATCTAGAAGCTATATGTACTACTGGGGGTTAGAGCACCAAGAAGAACAAATTACACTGTCTTCCAGCCAAAAGAGGCAGTGTGAATCAAACACAGAAGGCTTCTATCAAAAAGGGTAGAAGTATTCCCTTGCCCTTAATTTAAAAACAAAAAGTCTGTTTTGGTGAAAATGTTAGCATTTTTAAATGAAAAGGCACACATAAACATTAACACTTAAGAAACTGTTAAAATTCTTCACAACTAACATTCAAGGACATTATATTAAAACTAGAGACGCTCCTAATCAAGCCCTAATCCAATGTATAAAATTATGTTCTTCTCTTCAAATCTTTTAAGACTGATGAAAACACCCAGTTTTTAAGGGTAGTATTTGATCTCATCCATCTGCTGTGGGCAGTGGATGCTTATATGTAAACATGAAAGATGGTTCTTTGATATCACATCTTCTAATTATGTTAAAGGTTATTTTCCAAAAGCTGTTTGTCCTTATGCCCTATTTTGATCTATTTTTTATTCTTCGCCTAAAGAACAAAGAAGGAGGAGGAAGAGAGAGAACCTAGAGTCCTTTAAAGAAACAAAGGAGAAGAGTGAATTGTGTTTAATACTTGATAACTTTTTAAAGTATTTAAGTCCCCATCTCCCCCAATAAGCAGCAATAATACCTAAAGTGATTTATAAGAAATCCTCCAAAGAGAGCTCTGCAAAAGGGTCCTTTCCTGAAGCTCTGTGAGGACTGTGACTGGAGGGGCTGGATGCTGCCGACAGCTGGGGGAAAGAAGACAGAGAAAGGGAAAGAAAAAAAGATCTCTGAATGACAGAACATGAAAGCAGAAAATGTAATGAAAGAAGAAGTGGTTTTTGTTTTGTCATCTTTAATAAATATAAAAGGCAGTCTTTAGAGAAAATGGAATTATTAAACAAAAGTTTCAATTACATGTCAAGTTAAAGGATATCCAAATGGCATTATGTTTTTCAGAAAACAAACCGTTTCTGAAATTCCAGAGGAATAAAGTATTTTACTCAAAAAGGTCAATAAAAGCTGACCCATAGTTAAGACTTCTATTGTGGGTGGAGGGAAGAGGGGAAAGAAGTGCTTGTGATTTTTTTTTCTTTTTAATTGAGGGAAGGTGGCTTCCTGTGTCCAGGCTATCTGTCAAAACCTGTGTCAAGTCCAATCTCAGTCCAAACCAAACACATCTAGCTGCAATGGTCTTTCTTTCCTTCCTCAGAAGAGGCAGAAAGTCACACTTTTCTCACATGGAGTTGTCTCCTGCCTGTTTCTCTAGATATACTGTAGCTGATGCATATAATGTAAGAGGTGAAAGTAATCTTGGAGGTCACCTAGTCAAACTGCCCACACACTACCTTGAATATAGGGAATACTTCAGATCCTTGATTGTTTTCTACGTTATTATATTTGTTTGATTTTTGGAATTAGCTGCTATCATTTAATTTGGAGCAAATTGTTTATTAAATTCAATAACTTATCTTTAGTATACCTTCAAAGAAAGACAGTTCCTGAAGAACAAAGACATTCACTTCCTACGTGTATCACCTTCACCAAACCTACTTTGAGTATTTTAAACCAAACATAAGTCATTTGAGTTTGGAGTAAACTTTATTATTATTTTTTTTAGGTTTGTTTATTTTTGAGACAGAGACAGAGCATGAGTGGTTGAGGGGCAGAGACAGAGGGAGACACAAAATCTGAAGCAGGCTCTAGGCTCTGAGTTGTTGCAGGGGTCGAACCCACAAACTGTGAGATCATGATCTGAGCCAAAGTCGGACAACTTAACTGACTAAGCCACCCAGGTGCCCCTAGTTTGGTAAAAACCTTAAATTTTTTTCTCTCGCCCTGCAAAATAATGCAAAGGCATGCAAGCATAGGGCTATTATGAAATGAGCCATCCTTTTAGGGATGTTCAATTGAGAACTAAATCAAAGATGACCAAGTGGGAATAGTTTCAATTTATACTTGCAACATTCAAATCCTAGAATGGATTTCAAGCCTCACAAACTGTCTTTGCTGGTTCAAGCTGATCTCATTTCTACCTTTAACTTTTAAGAAAAGCACTATAGACGATGAATAGCCAATGACTTTCAGCAAACATTAAATCACAAGTATATGTAATTTGTTATTGTAGATGCCGAAGTCAATTTAAAGGTTCAGAAACCATCTTCAGTTATTTTAGTGGCTGAGTCATTTTCCTGACCTATTATTTTGTTCTCAGAAATAAATGTTCTAAGACAATGGAAAGAGACAATGGAAAAGATGATGAAATCACACAAGCAGCTACAGACAGGAGGATGGAACAGCTCTCTGGGTTTGAGGATTCAAAAAACATCCAGGTAGAGACAGATTAAGGTGCAACTTAATTGGAAAGATGTCTCCTCCCCCACTTCAATTTTTAAATTATTATTATTTTTAATGTTTATTTTTGAAAGCAAGAGAGAGAGCATGAGGTGGGGAAGGGCAGAGAGAGAGAGGGAGACACAGAATCCAAAGCAGGCTCCAGGTTCTGAGCTGTCAGCACAGATCGCGATGCAGGGCTCCAACTCACGAGCCATGAGATCATGACCTGAGCCAAAGTTGGCCACTTAACTGACTTGAGCCACCCAGGTGCCCCTCCTACTTCGCACTTCAGACCAAGCATGGATGACCATTCAGAAGCAGAATGATTAGAAGTGATCATCAGTCACTTAGCTGGAGGGAGTCTAAGATTAATTGGGTTTCTCTCCAAAACAGATTTTGTCTTTCACTTGAAGTTAAGAACAAAAACACCAAAAATCCCTGTTTACTGTGGATAGATTGCATCCAAAATCTCAAGTCTCCTATAAGAGCCCCGCACTAAAATTTAGTCTTTTTTTTTTTTTTTTTTTTTTTTTAGTATTTATTTATTTTTGAGAGAGAGACAGCGCATGAGCAGGGGAGGGGCAGAGAGAGAGGGAGACACAGAATCAGAAGCAGACTCCAGACTCTGAACAGAGTCCGATGCGGGGCTCAAACTCACAAACTGCGAGATCATGACCTGAGCCGAAGTCAGGCACTTAACTGACTGAGCCACCCAGGTGCTCCTAAAATGTCTTCTTAAATCATATGTTTTTATGAGGATGGCAGGCAGTCTGAAGATCTGCCTGTCCCAGAGGAAAATGCTCCTTCTATTCTCAGTATGGAGTATAATGGGAGGGAGAAGTCCCACAAGCTTACAAATAATGTTAAAGATCAATATTCTGGAGGGGGCGGGGGGAAAGAGTGCCAGTTTCTTGTTCGTCTTCTTCTTCTTCTTCTTCTACCACCACCACCACCACCACCACCCCCCCCTCTAAAACTGGTAAAATCTACACACATTTATCTTACATTTATAAATATGTAGCTAAATTAAAACATGAGAAAACAAGATCTAATATCCCTGTAATAAGTTTCAAATCATTAATGCTCATCTCAAGTACATGAAATGGTGGCACGAATTGGTTCGGCTGACTGGAGAGTGCTAAGGGCTGGGCCACGCGGCAGCCCTTGACCACCTGTATCCATCCACCCCTTCCTGGCACCTGTACCAAAGCACAGACACACCATGCACTGGTGAGAAGTAGGCAGCTCTGAGAAGTGGTTAAGGATAAAGAAGTAAAGGAAATATGCTGCAAAAGCCCAATTACTGCTCAAGGAAAGGAGGAAGAACAAAAGAGCAAGATGGCGTAATAGGATCCTGGTGGGTACACCTGCAAGTAAAAGAGCTGACCTTCCTTTACTTATCATTCTTGTGAGTAAATTAGAGCCTATGTAGGGCTCTAGTACTAAATAACAAGTAATTTCAGAAAAAGAAAAAAAAATCCAACCATCTTCATTAACTGCAAAATCACCAGCTTTTAAAAGCCAAAAAAAACCAAACTGTTAAGTGACCATTCTGATTAAATCCTACTACAAATATGCCATCAAAAAAAGAAAAAATATAGCCAGTTACCCATTTATTTCAAATAATATTCTCTATACCAATTCCCACAGAGAAAAAAAAATTAGCATAGCTATCACGGTTTGTTCAAATTAAACTAACCTATACCATAAATGAATATGCCTTTTAAAGAAAGTAGTCACTTACTCTGAGTCTAATACAGACATATTAGTCTTCCTTTCTCATTTTATAGGAAAAAAATAAAATACTGAGAAGCAAAGAGCAGCACATAAACAGAAATACTAAGATTTACAAGTAACTGATAATGGCAACTCTTAGTTGAAATTCCTCCACCCTTTCCTTCCACCCTAATCAACATTTAAAATATAATGTTGAAATGAAACCAAAAACTCTAATGTTACCAAAAACTTTTGCTTTTATATCCAGAGCAAAGATTTTTTGGTTGTAGTGTGTTTTTAGTATAATCAAGACAGCGTACAGATAGCATAAGTTAACTTTA